CATTCGTCCAGATTGTTTCAGACCATACAATGATCGCCTTAATTTGATCGAGAGCATACCTCGTGGTTTATTACTTGTTTCAGGCAACTTAAGTCCTTCTAGGACTTTCATATAGATGTCAGCATCTAATTCTCCATATAGATACGCAGTGATGACATCCATAAGTCGCATGTCAAGTCTTTCTGAAACCACTAAACTTATTAAGTAACGGAACGTAATTGCGTCCATTACAGGAGAGTATGTCTCCTCATAATCAATTCCAGGTATGTCTCCTCATAATCAATTCCAGGTCTTTGAGAAAAACCTTGTGCAACGAGTCGTGCTTTGTATCTTGCGATCTCGTTTTTCTCATTGCGTTTCCTTGTGAATACCCATTTGTAACCCACGGGGTTTACACTAGGTGGGGTTTGGACTACTGGTCCAAAAACATTCTGCTTTTCCAAGGAATTTAATTCTGCCTAGATTGCATCTTTCCACTTAGGCCAATCCTGTCTCTGTTTGCATTCATCAACAGAGCGGGGCTCAATATCATCACGTAAGATAATTTCAGTGGCTATTGCAAATGCAAACATATCATCAATGATTATTTCATTCCGATCCCACAATTCATTTGTACATGCATAATTTATGGAGATTTCTTTGCTTTCATGTACTTCTGTCTCTTGAGGAACAGATGTCTCATCAAGGACATTTTCTTTTTCTGGAAGTCCAGAATTATGAATTGTGGATGTATCATTCATTTTCTCTTCCTGAATGACTTCATTTGGATTCAGTTGTGCCCTCGACTTTCTCTTTCGAGGAGCTGAATCTTTTGAATCTGGGGGTCTACCACGCTTCAGGCGTGCACCAGATGAATCATTCGCTGCCACTTTATTTTGTCCAACAGGGACATCAATTCTTGCAGGTGCATTTGCAGCTGGTATATTTGATTTTGTCACTTTCATAACATCATTAAATGCATCTGGCATTTGATTGGCAATGCTTTGAAGATGAACGATCATTCTCACTTCATTTTCACATTGAATGCTGCGAGGATCAAAATGAGACAAGGTGGGAACAACCCATGTCAGCTCTTTCCGTTCTTCTAGAACGGTCTTTTCTCCCCCTAACAACGGGAAAATTGTCTCATAAAAGTGAAAATCAGCAAAACGAGCTGTAAACATATCACCTGTCAAGGGTTCCAAATATCTAATGATAGATGGTGAATCAAAACCCACATAAATTCCCAGTCTACGCTGAGGTCCCATTTTAGTGCGTTGCAGCGGTGCAATAGGCACATAAACAGCACAACCAAAAACTCGTAAATGGGAAATGTTTGACTGATGTCCAAACATGAGTTGTACTGAAGAGTATTGATGGTTGGCTATAGGTCTCAATCGAACTAATGATGCAGCATGTAAGATGGCATGTCCCCATGTAGAGACTGGCAATTTGGTTTTCATAAGCAGAGTGCGAGCTATTAACTGAAGCCGCTTGATCAATGCTTCTGCTAAACCATTTTGAGTATGGACATGAGGAACAGGGTGTTCAACATCAATGCCCAATGTCATGCAATAATCATCAAAGGTTTGAGACGTAAATTCACCAGCATTATCAAGTCGGATTGACTTAATGGGATAATCTGGGAACTGTGCTCGTAACTTAATTATTTGAGCAAGAAGTCTCGCAAAGGCTACATTCCGAGTAGACAAAAGACAAACATGTGACCATCGGGTAGATGCATCAACCAAAACCATAAAATATCGAAATGGTCCACATGATGGTTGAATAGGCCCACAAATATCCCCTTGAATTCTTTGCAGAAATGATGGGGATTTAGCATCAACCTTTAGTTGTGATGGTCTAATTACCAACTTCCCTTGAGAACAAACTTTGCAAGGGTTATCATTTAAGGCAGCAATGTGTCTGCTCACTAATGGATGTCCATTAGAGTTGGTAATGATCCTACGCATCATGGTAGATCCTGGATGACCCAGACGGTCATGCCAAAGCATGTAAACTTTTGAATCAATGAACTTCTGGTTCATGACAGTATGTGATTCAATTGTCCTTATGTATGTATAATATAATCCACTCGACATACCACGCAACTTCTCCAATATACGCTTCTGGGTATCATTGGAGGTAATGCATAGATACTCCACATTTTCTGCACTTTTTGTTTCAATGTGGTATCCATTTAGACGTATGTCTTTGAAACTCAACAAATTTCAAGTAGATTGAGTAACATACAATGCATTATGTATGGACAATATTGTTCCATTTGGTAACATAATCTGGGCTTGCCCTGAACCTTGAATTACATCTGAAGGTCCTAATATTGTTGTTACCCCTACTCTTGTAAGTCTTAAGCTTGAGAAATACTTTCGATCACGAAGTATTGTATGTGTGGTTGCACTGTCTGCAAGACAAATATCTCCGCCATTTCTCATGTTCTGAGAATAACCACAATTTTTATCCATGCTCTCTAAGTAAGAGAATCAGAGTTAAAAGCAAGTTATAACAAGAAATTTACATGCCATTTTTATTGAATCTGAAAATACTACAAGTTCAGCATAATAAAAGTACATTAATGATTCAATCGGACCGGTATACGTCATTTCCCCTTTCCACAATATAGTCTGAAACATCTAGATGAGTTGTGTTCAACTGCCCTGATAAGTCAAACACTGGATCAGGTATATCCATTGGTCTAGCCTGGTCGAGAAAGTTAGTCTCGACACCCTTCTCCTTGAGGGAGGCTTGATACAGATCCACTAGATGTTTTGGGGTACGACAAGTACGCGCCCAATGCCCATTGCCACCACACCTATGGCAGGCTCCTTCAGAGTTTCTAGGAGCATTGTTCATATGAGCTTTGCCTTTGTGGCGATTCGCATTTTTGAAGCTCGGGCCTGAATTATTCCTGGGAACCTAGTTATGAAACTGAACTCCATGGTTCTTGCCTTTCCTAGTCCATCGACCTCGCTTATGGCCACGTCCTCGTTTATGATTATCACCACCAGAGGATGTGGCGTTCACTTCGAGGGAAGCAGCATTCACTTTTGGGAATGGTGCAGATCCAGTAGGTCGGGAATGATGGTTTTTCATCAGGAGCTCATCATTCTGTTCAGCTACTAAGAGCACAGATATCAGCTGGTTGTACTCAGTGTAGCCTCGCGCTCTATACTGCTGCTGCAGGAGCACGTTGGAAGCATGAAATGTGCTGAGAGTCTTTTCCAGCATATGCTTCTCAGTAATAATATCCCCACAGAGCTTCATCTGAGAGGTAATTCTGAACAATGCAGAATTGTATTCTGCCACTGACTTGAAGTCTTGAATCCTCAGATGAGTCCACTCATAGCGGGCCCTTGGAAGAATCACCGTTGTCTGGTGATTGTATCTGTTTCTCAAGGCATTCCAGAGAGCTAACGGATCTTCAACCGTTAAGTACTCGCTCTTTAGCGCCTCATCAAGATGACGGCGAATGAAAATCATGGCCTTTGCCCGATCTTGAGAGGATGAGTTGCTCTCTTCCCTGATGGTATCTCCAAGATTCCCTGCTTCCAGATGGATCTTGGTATCCAGTACCCAGGTCAGGTAATTCTTCCCAGTAATATCCAGGGCAGCAAATTCAAGCTTCGCCAAGTTCGCCATTTTCTTTTCTGAAAGAAAATGAGATGTGTAAGAACTTGCAATAATATGTATTCCTGGAGGAATATGATGTTAGAACTTCTGGTTCTTACAAATTTTTCATTTTGATCTTCAGGTCAAAATGATAAGCACTCGAAACTTCTGGCTCGAGATTTTCAGGGTGAATGAGAAGGGCGATCGTACCGCACCATTCTCATTGAAATAATGTAATATAGAATGGGCGATTATTCCGCACCACTCAAATAACAGGAAAATTAAATATGCAGAGTAGCGTGGGCGATTATGCCGCACCACATAAAATTGCAATGAAATTAAACAGCAGGTAAATTCGAATATGCAGGGTAGGGTGTGCGATTATACCGCTCCACCTAAAAATTGCAGTAAAATTAAATCTGCAGTCCAAGATAGACGATGATACCGCACCGTCTTGGATCGCAGTAAGATTAAATTTGCAGTTCAAGATGGGCGATTGTACCGCACCATCTTGGATTGCAGTAGAATTAACACAAATAAATACTGGGTTAGTAATCAATCTCTACACCAAACAAGTAATCAAAGATGTATGTAACCGTTAGTTGGAGAACTAAGAGCAGGCATGGAGCAAACAACTCATCGCGAGGGTACACGGCGCAGTTGAGGCAGAGGAAGAAGATGAACAGTAAAAACCTTAAAGGAAACATTTTTTTTTCTTTCTTTCGTTCGTTCGGCGAAGAGAGATGAGAGAATAATTATATTTAGAGACTCGTGCTGATAACATGTTATAAAAGGGTTAAAGTTTGAGAGAATAACCTTTTTAGTAGTAGGTGCAAGGTAGATGTAAAATGCCACACTAAAACTTATAGCACAAGAGGATAACAAATAAAAGGCAGAGGAATAGATGATGTTACTGATATTTCTCTCTTGTTTTCTTCTTCTTATATATTCTGTTTTATGAAAACATGCGAAGTGCTCTATTTATAGAGCAACTCCAAACTGATGCAGTTAATGCATCTTGAAATTTATGAAATTTCGTCTGACTATACAATCACTTTCACTTTGCATGGCATTGAAAACTTTGCCCATGCTGAAGACTTTTGCTTTGTGGGCATTCATTGCCATCAGACATCAGACTTTTCAACACTTTTGCTTTGTGGGCATTCATTGCCATCAGACATCAGACTTTTCAACAAATGTATTAAAGTTTGAAAATCATGATGCGTCAAAATAGTAAAATGAGAATTATTGTTTATTCTTTAATATTTTATTTTTAGTGAAGTTATTCATTTTTCTTTTTAGCAAGAATCCAAATCATGTAGGGTGGTTAGAGTACAACATATTATAAGTAGGCTATTTTGGACTTTGCCATCAATAGCAGTGGAGATAATAATGGTAATAGTAAGAGGTCAAATTCCAAGCTTTAGTTCATTGCTAGCAGAGATTTGCGACAAGAGAAACAGAAGAAGGAAAAATGACGTTCAGTTCCAGCATCTGCACATCTGCTAAATTCTGGGCGTGGCAAGCATCTTTTCTGCTGCTGCTTACCAACAATGGTGCATCACAGTCGATCATCAAGAACTTGCCGGGCTTTTCCGGTGACCTCCCCTTCAAGCTTGAAACAGGGTACTTACAATTTTTTGATTAACATCTAAATTTGAACTCTTATAGGAGCCTATGTTTAATTATCTGTTTTATAGTACTGAATTATGGGTTTTAATTTGTGTCCACTTCCAAGGTATGTGAGCGTTGGCAAATTTGATGAACTGCAAATGTTCTACTACTTCGTTGAGTCAGAGAGGAGTCCAGAAAACGATCCTCTGCTTCTTTGGATAACAGGAGGCCCTCGATGTTCTTCTTTTTATGGCCTCGTTTATGAAATTGGTAACGTATCCCACTAATTTGTATCATTAATTAGTAAGTAATTCATTACTTTTACTGTCTAATTAGTATCATTAATTGTTTGAAGGCAATTATCAGTTTTGATTTCCACCGATTGCTACAGAAACTAGTACTTTTTTCAAGAGATAAGCAAAACCCCCTGAAAATATATTGTTTTAAAAAAACCTCGACAGTACATTTTTTTTTTCCGTTGATTCGGAAAATTAAAAGTTACACCTGGTCCGCCGCACATAAACCTTACTCCTTAGGAAAACGTTTGAAAATAATTTTGTTTATTAGGTCCCAAATACAAAGCACACTTAATAAGTTCTCTAATCGTGTTTCATTCCAGGTCCAATATCTTTCCAATTTGGAGACTTGAACAAGGACCCATTTATTGAAGGGTAGTATGGTAAAAGTCACAAATGTGTAAAAAGGAATATAAAAGACAGTTAGTTAGTTAGAGATGGGAGGTTATATAGCTTAGGAGATAAGATAACACTTGTGTATATAAGTGTGAAATATCTTGTAAGCAGCATCAGATTGTAATACACAAAAATATCATATCTCTCTCTCTTTCTCTCGTCTCTATCTTTCTTCCTCTCTACTGTATTTTCTGGTTTCTTGCTGTATACTGTTATCATGGTATCAATCGCTCGGACGATTCTTGGTGCCGTTTCTTCCGCTGGAGTTTAAAGAATTGCGAGTGCTGGTTAATGTTTGCTGCAAGGTCACAGAGTTTCTTGGCCAAAAAGGGGGCAAGCGTTCGTTCATATCAGGTTCTTGGTTTCTATTTTCGCATTGCACACCATCTGTTTGTGATATGTTCTAGGTGAAGATTGTTTGGTTTTTGTCTATGAGTTTGAAGGCCGATAGCCATTATTAGCAAGATTAAAGGCCGATAGCCATTCTTTGAGTTTGTAAGAGGCCGATAGCCATTGTTTGATTGTGATAAGTGTTTGTGTGTCGGAGAAAGAGAAAGGCCGATAGCCATTAGAAACGAAGGGTAGTATATTTTGGTGTTAAGATCATATTGTGGTGTAGTGTTCGGTTTTTTCAATGGGGTCGAATGTCAAGATTGAAGGGTTGCTTGGGATGCTTACGGTTAAGCTTCAGGATGACAATTTTGTTAAATGGAGTTTTCAGTTTCAGTCTGTTCTTCGGGGGTATGATTTTTTTGATCATTTCACGGGTGAAGATCCATGTCCTCCGAGATTTGTTATTGATACAGAGTCCGGAGTTACAACTGAAGTTACTATGGCATATAAAGATTGGGTGAAGAAGGATCTTGCCTTGCTCAGTCTTCTCATTGCTACACTATCTGATGATGTTATGGAACACATTATTGGTAGTAAGACAGCGTGTGAGGCATGGACTTGTTTGCAAGAAAGATTTGCGTCTGTCTCTATGGTTAGAATTAATCAACTGAAAAGTGAGTTCCATACTATCCAAAAAGGTGGGGAATCTGTGGATAGGTTTCTTTTAAGGGTTAAAGCTATTAAGGATCAACTAGTTTCTGCTGGGGAAAAGATCACTGAAAATGATTTTCTTATAGCTGTGCTGTCTGGTTTACCTCCAGAGTTTGAGATGATAAAGACTGTGATATTGGCTAGGGATTCTCCGTTTTCATACAAAGATTTGAGGGCTCAACTTCTTGGGGCAGAGGCTAGTATTGAATCCAGACTGAAGTCCTTGAGTACATCTATGGCAGCAATGTATGTTCATGGAGATGGGTCTGGCTCCAGAGCTTTTCCCAATAACCATACTGGGTTTGAAGTTGGGGAGAGTTCCAACTCTCAAAGATTTCAAGGGGAGTTTGATGGTGATCATTCTAATGCATTTCATGGTGGCTCGGGTTTTGTGGGGAATAGTGACAGGTTTGTCCAGAAGTCCAATTTCACAGGGGGCAATAGGAGGTATAATGGAAATGTTAACAATGGTAATTTTGATCCTAGGAGTACTAATGGTTCCAGAAACTTCTCTGGTCATGGAAATTCATTTGGTCACAGAGGGAATAATGGTACTTTTAATGGCAATGGTAAAGGTGTTCAGTCACAGAATGGCAGTGGATTTTCTGGTAATGGTTTTCAAATGAGTAATACCTGGAATGGCAATACATCCTACAAATCTGGTGTGTCACCCGAGTGTCAAATATGTTCTAGGAGGGGACATACAGAAGCTAATTGTTTTCACAGGGCTGCTACTGGAAATTCAGGGTTCCTTGCTTGCCAGATTTGTGGGAAAAGAGGCCATATTGCCCTGGAGTGTTATCATCGCAATAATTTTGCCTATCAGGGTACTCCACCACCTTCTACCTTGACTGCCATGACTGCACAGGCTCATATTGGACAGAATCCATCACAGAACACTGGACATGGGTTATCCACTGGGGATACTTGGATTCTGGACACAGGAGCTACACATCACATGACTTCTAATGTTCATGCACTCTCTCAAGTCAATTCATACAATGGTGATGAGAAGATAACTATTGGAAATGGTGAAGGTTTGGCAGTCAAGCACATTGGTTCTTCTACAATTTCAACTCCTCATAATGCTTTAATTCTGCATAATGTGTTGCATGTGCCCCAAATTACTGCCAATCTTCTTTCTGTTAAGATGTTATGCAAAGATAATGGCTGTTGGTTTGTTTGTGATGATGTGGATTTCTTTATACAGGACAAAGCAACAAGGGTGACTTTGTACCACGGAAGGAGTGATGATGGGGAACTTTTCAAGATTCCAGCCACTGTTTTTGATAACTTATTTGCTACAAAGTTGAGTCAATGTGCTGCATTCTTGGGACAGAAAGTAAGGACTACGATTTGGCATCAAAGGCTAGGGCATCCATCAGAAGATATTTTAGCTAGAATGTTGAAAACTGCTGAAATTAGTACTAGTAAAGACTCTTGTTCATCTTGTGTACAAGGAAAAATGTGTAGACAAGTATTTCCAGTAAGACAAAATAAAGCTAAGTGTTTGTTTGAGAAAGTCCACTCAGATGTATGGGGACCATCTTCAATCCCATCTATAGAAGGCTATAAGTACTACATTTCTTTTGTAGATGAATTTTCTAGATTCATGTGGATTTTTCCCATGATTAATAAATCAGAAGCTTGTTCTATTTTTGTGAAGTTCACAGCATTTGTGTTTAATCAGTTTCATGCTTCCATTAAGTGTTTTCAATCTGATGGGGGAGGTGAGTATATGAGTAAACAGTTTAAGGAGTTTCTAGCAAGCAAAGGCATTTCTCACATGATTTCCTGTCCTTATACTCCTCAGCAGAATGGTATTGCTGAAAGGAGACATCGACATGTTGTTGAAACTGCTATTACCTTGATGACAGAAGCAAGTTTGCCTCAAATGTTCTGGTATCATGCCTGTGCTCATGCAATTCTCCTGATTAACAGAATGCCATCTCAAGTCTTAGAGTTTAAGTCTCCTTATCAGATATTGTTTGGACACACACCTGATATTCATAATTTTAAGGTCTTTGGTACTGCCATTTATCCTTTCCTGCGTCCTTATATCAATAATAAGTTTCAACCTCGATCTTCACTTTGTGTTTTTCTTGGTTATGCCTTGGGATACAAAGGAGCTATTTGCTTTGATATCAACACTGGTAAATTGTTATTGTCTAGGCATGTTATATACAATGAGGAAGTGTTTCCATATAAAACAGACTTATCTCGAGGGTGTTTTAGTCCTGGCAAGTCTAAGCACATATCCAGTGATGTGGTTGTGGTTCAAATGCCTATTCCTGCAGTTCACAGTACAGTATCTACATCCAGTGCAGATTCCACATTAGATCCAGTTTCTTCGCAGCAAGTGTCCAATGTACATTCCAGTTCTGAAATGGTAGCTTCTCATGCATTCCCTCCAGAAGTCAATGCATCACCCTTGTTGTCTGTCCATCGAAGTTCTCCACTAGAGGTATCGATTCCTGTCTCTTCTCAACTCAGTGACCATTCTGACAATCATTCCATGTCCCCAGATGCAGTGGCTAGTCATCCTATGGTTACACGTTTGAAAAGTGACTATACAACGACAAGATTATGCTGCTTATTTGACATCTTTTCCAGAACTACAATCTTTATATGTTACAGCAGATGAAGTATTCTCTAGTGGCTATTCCTATGTGACAGCCATTACTGATACTAAAGAGCCTTCTAATTTTCGGAAAGCTGCAAGTCTACCCCATTGGCAGCAAGCTATGCAGGAAGAATATGACTCTCTCAGGGCTCAGGGGACTTGGCAGCTAGTTCCATATCCTAGTAATCGATCTGTGGTTGGTAGTAAATGGGTGTACAAGGTCAAAAGGAAGTCTGATGGTAGTGTCTCAAGATACAAAGCTCGATTGGTGGCTCAAGGGTTTTCACAGGAATATGGTCTTGATTATTCTGAGACTTTTAGTCCTGTTGTTCGTTATACAACAGTAAGAATCATTCTTGCTATAGCTGCAATGAATCACTGGGAATTGAAACAATTGGATATTAAAAATGCCTTCTTGCATGGGGATTTACAAGAAGAGGTTTATATGCACCAACCTCAAGGTTTTGTTGATCCAACCTGTCCTACTTATGTCTGTAAACTTGTTAAATCTCTGTATGGCCTTAAACAGGCACCAAGGGCCTGGAATTCTAAGTTTACTACCTATCTGTGTGCTATGGGATTTTGTGCTTCCTTGTCTGACACAAGTTTGTTTGTTAAACACACTGGGAGTGATATCATTATTCTCCTGTTGTAAATGGATGACATAATTTTGACAGGCTCGAATTCTGTACAGATTCAACAGGTTATTCACGAACTTTCAGAAGTGTTTGAATTGAAAGATTTGGGCAGACTCAGCTATTTCTTAGGCCTTCAGATTTCATATCCTTCAAATGGGGATATATGTGTCACTCAATCGAAATATATCACAGATTTGCTTCATAAAGCTGGAATGGATTCTTGTAAGTCATCCCCAACACCTTGTAAGCCACACAATTCGTTGCTTCTCAATGAAGGAATGCCATTGTCCGATCCTACATTTTACAGAAGCATTGTTGGTTCTCTGCAATACCTGATTTTTACTAGGCCAGATATTGCTTTTGCGGTTAATTCAGTTTGTCAGTTTATGAAAGCCCCCACTGAGGTTCATTTTGGAGCAGTGAAGCGAATCTTATGGTATCTTAAGGGTACCAGTCAATATGGTCTTGTATTTTCCGCAGCTACAACACCGAGTCTCGAAGCCTTTTCAGACTCTGATTGGGCAGCAGATTTGAACACTCGGAGGTCTGTGACTGGCTATCTTGTTTTTCTTGGCAACAGTCCCATTTCATGGCAGTCAAAGAAACAAGGGTCTGTTTCTCGCAGTTCTACTGAAGCAGAGTACAAAGCCTTGGCTCACACTGCAGCTGATCTCGCGTGGATAAGGGCAGTCTTGAAGGATTTGGATGTGTTTCTGCCCACATCACCTGTTATTCACTATGATAATTTGTCTGCGATTGCATTAAGTGCCAATCCAGTTTTTCATTCACGAATCAAGCACTTGGATACGGATTATCATTTTATTCGGGAAAAAGTGCAACAAGGTGATTTGGTTGTCTCCTACATTCCCACTGAAGATCAATCTGCTGATATTCTTACCAAGGGGTTGCACGGACCCCCAAGTTCAGATTGCGGGGGGATATTGAAGGGTAGTATGGTAAAAGTCACAAATGTGTAAAAAGGAATATAAAAGACAGTTAGTTAGTTAGAGATGGGAGGTTATATAGCTTAGGAGATAAGATAACACTTGTGTATATAAGTGTGAAATATCTTGTAAGCAGCATCAGATTGTAATACACAAAAATATCATATCTCTCTCTCTTTCTCTCGTCTCTATCTTTCTTCCTCTCTACTGTATTTTCTGGTTTCTTGCTGTATACTGTTATCACCATTAACACTTGTTACGAATCCATACGCATGGACCAAGGTGTGTGGAATTTTTTCGTCCCTGCGTTTAGCTTCCATTAATAATTATGGGACCACTGGCTAACTCTCAGTTTAGTAATACTTCTCTCTAATAATTGAAAAAAATGTTATCGGAATTCCACAATAGTTAATAAAACAGATGAGTGCGTGACCAATTGAGGGTGAGCGGTGAGAGTGGTTCTTTTGTTTTCAGCTAGCAAACATAATATTTTTAGATGCCCCTGCTGGTACTGGATTTTCATACTCAACAACTCTGGAGGGGTATATCAGTAGTGATACCCTGCATGCCACAAGAGCTTACGAGTTTCTCAAAAGGGTAAGTCAAGATTTTGCATAAATAATTCGTAATTAAGAAATTATTTCAACAGTACAAAAAAAAAAAAAAAAAAAAAAGTGGTTGTTTATAATTGTTGATATATTGATTTAATTTTCATTATTGCTTAAAATCATGCACCTATGCAGTGGCTTGTGACTCATCCCCAGTTTCTTGCAAATCCTCTCTACATTTCTGGAGATTCCTTCTCAGGAAAAATTGTTCCCATCATTGTTCAGCATATAACCGATGGTAACTTCATGACAAATGAGTCCTCCAACTCATATTCAATTAATTCCGCATAAATTTTAGAACTGCATAACAAAATGTGTCTGTATCTCGAAAGCATTAAGGATTACGGACGCATGTGTTTGTATCTCTGTTGTTGAGTGCTGCAGATATTGAAGCAGGAACCGAACCACCTTTGAATCTCAAAGTAGGAAATTGACATACCGAAAAAATTCCTTCTTATACTGTCAAATTTCATGACATCATTGTGCTAGAAATTGATTTCATCTATAATGGATTTTCAGGGATACATAATTGGCAATCCAGCTACAAACACTAAGGGGGATGTTAACTCGAGAATTGAGTATGCTCATCGTATGGCGCTTATATCAGATAGAATATACGAGGTATGCATATCGCTGTTGGTTTTGTTTCAAGTGCTAAGTTTTAAGGTCTCCCTTTGTAACTTCTAAGAAGCATATAGCAATATCACATCTAAAGTTTGAATAAAAAAAATATTCTTATGAAAAGCAAAGGAATAAACCCTTATAGATAACAATTATACAAATGTTGAGTGCAATGTGTCGCTACATTCTTATAAGATTCGGATGCAGTAGTGCACTCAAGTTGCACTCCACAAATTAAAAGTTTTAATTGCTTTATTTTTAGTCAACTACAAGGAATTGCAAAGGCGAATACGTAGATGTAGATCCAAACAATCAACTATGCCTCAACAGTCTTCAAGCTTTCCAGGAGGTACGTATCACCATGGTTGCATATCCAAAGAATTAAAGTATTTTGGGGGTCATCTCATGTTGGGGAAGAATTTAGAGTACTCAACTCTAACACAAGTGTTGGAGAGACAACACAAGTAAACTAATTACTTGTATTACACACACAAAATATTACAACACAAACTATCAAGGACACTCTTGGGAAGCTATGACAGTCACTCACTTTCTAAAGACAAACTCTAGACCACTCACACTCTTACAATACTACTCTTTCTTCCCACTCTCACTTGGTTGCTTGCTTGCTTGATTACAAGCTTACTTGGTTGGTCACATTGCAACACATGCACACACACCTATTTATAGGTGTGGTTTTGCCGACTACAATTGCCCACCGCCATTGGGCTTTGTATGGCAGCCACACAATTGTACAAGCTGCTAGGACTTTCTAGCACATTATTATACAGACACACACCCACCGACTTAATAGGATAGTGCTAGAATTATCTAGCATATTGATATGCCTGCATGATGCACCGACTTTGGTGCCAGAATTTTCTAGATTTGTGTAGAATAGGCTGGGGTTGGTCTCTTTCAACATTCCCCCTCAACACCAGCTCATTCTTTTCTCCATGCTGAGTTGACGACGAAACTTTTCAAACTTGCCGGTACTCAAACCTTTAGTGAACAAGTCCGCAACTTGTTCATCTGTATTGATTTGTCTCATCTCAATCTCTTCTTGCAAGACCTTCTCTCTAATGAAATGATAGTGTACCTCCACATGTTTAGTTCTTGCATGAAAGACTGGATTTTCCGCCAAGCGAATTACAGATTGGTTACCACAGTACAATGGTACTGGATAATCTACTGGTTGATGTAAATCACTCATCAACTATACCAGCCATGCATTCTCTTGAGTTGCCATTGCTGCTGCTCTATACTCTGCTTCTGTGGTTGACAAACACACCGTTGGTTGTCTCTTGCTGCACCACAAAACTACTCCAGAACCAAATCTGAAGACATACCCAGTGGTCGATCTCCTGATGTCGTGATCTCCTGCAAAATCTATGTCACAATAGCCAACCAACTTACCATCTTCTCCTTTCTTGTACAAGAGACCATAGTCAATTGTACTCTTTACATATCTCAATATTCGTCGAACCGCTTCTAGATGAGGCTTCTTTGGATTTTGTATGTATCGACTCATCACACCAACTGCATAAGAAATGTCAGGTCGAGTCAGAGTCAGATAGATCAGACTACCTACCAATTGTCGATACATTGTTGCATCTTCCAAGTTTTTGCCTTCATGTGCACACATCTTGTGACACACCCTGACCCCGATATTCCCCGAATACCAGGATAGGCACGTGCTGGCCGACACCCGAGGGTGACGAAAGCCATTTATTGAGTGCAAATGCTGAAAACAAGGGATATATAAGGCTTATAAATATAAAAGAATAATGAATATGCAAATAAGGACCGTGTTCAGAGCACACTTCTAATCTAGAACACTAAAAAAAAATAATATAAAATTGAATGAGACAAAGGAGTGAGTCCTACACCGAGAGGACCCACTCCTTTGTCTCATTCAATTTTATATTATTTTCTTTTAGTGTTCTAGATTAGAGGTGTGCTCTGAACACGGTCCTTATTTGCATATTCATTATTCTTTTATATTTATAAGCCTTATATATCCCTTGTTTTCAGCATTTGGACTCAATAAATGGCTTTCGTCACCCTTGGGTGTCGGCCAGCACGTGCCTATTCTGGTATTCGGGGAATATCGGGGTCGGGGCATCCCAAACTTCTGCAACAAGTCTTTTGTATACTTTTGTTGACATAGAAATATCCCTTCTTATGTGCGATCAACCTCTAATCCACGAAAGTGCTTGAGTTGTCCAAGCTCTTTCATCTTGAACCGAACTGACAAATTTTCCTTTGTTCGACAAATTTCAACTTCATCATCGCCAGTGATGATTAAGTCATCCATGTACACCAGCAGGATAGCTAACTTTCCTCCATTAGCTTTAACAAATAAGCTTGAATCTGCATGGGCCACTGAGTAACCACTTTTGCGTTAGAAATTCTGCAATCTTACCGTACCACGCCCTTGGTGCTTGTTTCAGACCGTAAAGTGCTTTCCTCAACTTGCACACGTACTTGGGATGAACTTTACTTTCAAAGCCCATTGCTGCATCATGTAGATCTCCCATTCTAACTCTCCATGCAAGAAAGCATTCTTCACATCAATCTGGTATAGATTCCAATTTTTGTTAGCTGCAAGTGCAAGTAGGACTCGTACGGTCGTAAGCTTTGCTACTAGACTAAATGTTTCATCATAGTCTAGTCCATACTGCTGAGAGAAGCCTCGAGCCACGAACTGAGCCTTGTACCTTTCAACTGAACCATCAGGATGACACTTTATCTTGTACACCCATTTGCAGGATATGGGTTTCACATCCCTTGGCTTTGGCACCAAATCCCAAGTCTGATTCTGCTTAAGCGCAGTTATTTCTTCTTCTATAGCTTTTACCCATTCAGAACTCTGTGATGTTTCTTTAAATGCCTCAGGTTCTTTTGGTGCTCCATCAGTTATGGCAGCATTGGCATATTTAGGATATGGCTTTTGTACTCTTGTTGAGCTTCTTAGTTGTGATTGTGGAGTTGATACTTCCACTCCACTAGGTCTAACTTCTTGTGGTTGTTGGTACACACCTGTTTGCCAAGGACTCTTAGGTACTTCTTGCTCGACATCATCTCCAGCAAGCAAATCTTCAGGCTCATCTGGACTTGATTGGATTTGGGCAGCTTGGTCTCCCAGTTTCCCTTGCAACATATCTTTAAACTCTTTTGGGTCGGGCAATGCCTCATTTTCTGAGCACCAACAAGATGATGCTTCTGCGTCCCATTCTCCCTCCACAGCTAGAGACGCAACGACATCCCAATCATCTTCAATTTTCTTCTCTGAGTTGGCGATGTTACTTTCTGCAGGCCTTTTGAACCAGCAATCCTTCACCATGTGGCCCTTTTTTCCACAATTGTAGCACTTGCCCTCAAACCTTTTATTATTCTGGGACTGACCACAATTGCCGTGATGCTTTGGAGCTCCCCCTGGTCGAGAACTCCCTCCTCCTTGATGACATTTTTCCTTGTCACCATTTCTTTTAGATCCACCACTAGCACGCTGCTTAAAGCTGCCTTTACTTTTGGTGTAGAGCGCTTCCTCCTCACCTCTTAACGAGACCTCTCCCATTTACTTTGCCAAAGCTTCTTGATCGGCAAGCAAATTCTCGAACTCAACAAGTGATGGTTGGGTCGGCCATCCTTGTACAGTGGCAACAAAGCCTCGATATTCGAGTCTCAATCCATGGATAATTATTCTTTTTATCCTGGATTCTACAATGGCAGCACTAAGATCTAATTTAGAAATTTCACGGCAAATAGACTTTACCTTGTGGAAATACTGTGCAATCGTCATGTCCCTTTGGGCCACTGATAACAACTTGTTCTCGAGAAGCTACAGTCTTGTATCGTTCCTCTTTGAAAAGAGTGTGGCGAAGGTGTCCCATGCTTCTTTTGGTGTTTTGGCCTTCCGTATGTGCTCTAACATGTCATCTTCAATTGTAGTTTTTAAGGCAAACATGGCCTTACCTGCCTTAATCTTCCACTTCCTCAAAGCACCGCTAGTGTCTTCTTCTGGCTGCGTAACTTCATTACCCCCGACGACATCCCAAAGATCTTGGCCTTGTAGGTAAGATTCCATACATGTTGCCCATGTGTTGTAATTTTTGTTGTTCAACTTTTTTATTCCTCCAACAACTTGAAGGTCTCCCATCGTGTCAGCAGAGCTTCGATAAGCCAAACAAGATTAACCAATAATCTTGCGAAGTACTGAACTTCTCATGATTCTCGGAAGCTTTAATAGAGACGGTCCCTGATCGTACCGCTCTGATACCAATTGTTGGGGAAGAATTTAGAGTACTCAATTATAGCACAAGTGTTGGAGAGACAACACAAGTAAACTAATTACTTGTATTACACGCACAAAATATTACAACACAAACTATCATGGACACTCTTGGGAAGCTATGACAGTCACTCACTTTCTAGAGACAAACTCTAGACCACTCACACTCTTACAAGACTACTCTTTCTTCTCACTCTCACTTGGTTGCTTGCTTGCTTGATTACAAGCTTACTTGGTTGGTCACATTGCAACACATGCACACACACCTATTTATAGGTGTGGTTTTGCCGACTACAATTGCCCACCGTCATTGGGCTTTGTATGGCAGCCACACAATTGTACAAGCTGTTAGGACTTTATAGCACATTATTATACAGACACACACCCACCGACTTAATGGGATAGTGCTAGAATTATCTAGCATATTGATATGCCTGCATGATGCACCGACTTTGGTGCCAGAATTTTCTGGATTTGTGTAGAATGGGCTGGGGTTGGTCTCTTTTAACATCTCAAAGTGTGGTTCGATGATTCAAGCTTTCTAATATGTAGATACTCATTTCAGAATATCTGTGCGAAATTTTTTAAGAAATCAGAAATAGTTGATCATTTGATTATGCTTATCAAGATTTCATTGTTTGTCAATAAAGGATTGTTTTATTTATTCTCTCTTAGGTATGACTAAATAATTTCATATTTAGTTCATGTTTTTATAACGACAATCTTCAAAGGAAAATCTAAAAAGTGGACCGGAACTTGACACCCTATGTACATTCTTGATTTTCAATCTGATCATGTAAAGTGTCAAATGTGTACACACACACACACACAATCCTAACACCCTGCATGGTTTTAATCTTCTGTTATATAAAGTCACTTGATCATTGAGTATGCAGTGCACTGGAAGACTTGATTCCGAACACATATTAGCACCTTTGTGCCCCAGGGCAAACGACTATGACGAATTAACAGTGTTAGAAATGAACTGGAATTGGAAGGCGGGTATCTCACACCCTGTTGAGGATACTTTGAAAGATTTCCCCTCTTCTCTGCAGTTGTGTCGGGTATCTCTCTCTCTCTCTCTCTCTCTGATATTCATCGTATGGCAATTTGCTCGTAGTTTAGCATTACTTCTTTTCAATGCTAGAAGAGGTCACAAATACGAATCCACCCTCTCTGTTAACTGCGAAATGACTCATTTTATTGGGTAGTAACAAACTGACAGACGTGTTGCAGGAAGATAGGATTCGCTACTCTGTTGTTTGGGCAAATGATATAAATGTCCGTAAAGCTCTCAACATTCGAGAGGTATATGTATCCTAATGCTATCTCTAATCAATTAAATAGAAGATACGAACTTGCAGCCATTTAATTTCAAACAAAAATATTTACAATTAACGACAAACAGGGAACAAAAGGTGAATGGGCTAAATGCAATAGAACAACACCTTATACATTTGATATCCCAAGTAGTCTTGAATATCATCGAAACCTCAGCAAAAAGTCCCTTCGTGCTTTGGTCTACAGGTAAATTGTTAAATATGATACGTTCTTCATGTTTTACCAATTAGAAAAGAAAAAAAAATTGAAGAGGCAGCATAGTTACATGTATTTACCTACAGTGGTGATCATGATATGGCCATACCATATATAAGTACACTGGCGTGGATAGAATCCTTGAACTTGACACTTGAAGATGATTGGAAACCATGGTTTTCTGACGATCAAGTTGCCGGGTTAGTATATTATACCTATAAAGCTCAGTTTTTATTGTTTTCGTGATTTTTTCGGGTTGACAAGTTCCAATATTTAATACTAACTCTTGATCCCTTGTTCTCATTTATTTTGTCACTGATTCATTTTGCAGATACACAATTTACTATTCGAATAAAGAGTATAATTTGACATATGCCACCATAAAGGCATGTCCGATAATATCTGTACATTAATGTACTAATTAAAATCAATAACCATTGCTGACCTTAGAATTGATTCCAAGTTGCAATTGTGCAGGGAGGAGGGCATACAGCTCCAGAGTACAATCCTAAGGAGTGTTTTGATATGTTCAATAGGTGGCTAGGGCATTCTCCTATTTAATCTGTTCTAGCACACTAAGGCCTCATTTGATAGAGAGGATTGAGTTAAGCATGACTATTACTGTGTAACTACAAGTACATTTACTTAACCGTAACGTCATTCATAATTTTGGTACATTATGTTTTCCCATATCATTGTTTTTCTTGCTTGATTAAAGTTTATGATAACTAGTAGATGTGAGTTTTTTTTTTTTTTTTTTTTTTAACCAGCGATATTATTTACAAGGCTACCACTAACTATCTCCGTCGCTGATCTTCAAGCCGCGTGTTGATAATTGTGGAAGGGTAGGTGTATTAATGGTTATTTTTGCGTTTATTTAATATATCTATGTTGCACATGTTTCAACGTATGCCTCTTCCCATATATATTTGCGCCTATTGATTCGGTGACTTGAGCTTTGCAATTTGCAGGGACGACAAGTCTACACGGCTGAGTCGACTCACCAATGACTCTACGAGTTCGCAAATCTACGAGGTGTTCCATGGATAGCCCTTCCTAGGTGTGAGGTGTGAGGCAAAGCCTCATGGGACCTAAAATTATATATATATCACAATACTTGTAAAACAAATTAATCAACTTCAACAATCAAACAAGTAGCCAAACTACAAATTGAGGTATAAGATTGGAGTAAAATTTTAATATAGGATTGGTATTGAGAATTTAGAGGGATTGGGTGAAATAGAGAGAATCGTGCATTGGGTATTGGGTGGGGAAGGAGGAGGAGACCTCCTGTGATTGGGTTGCTTGTTGCTGATATATGGGGACCAAATGTTCCTATATTAAAAAAAAAAAAAAAAAAAAAAAAGATAAAAAAACAGAGAGACCTGGCCAAAATAACGTTGTTTTGGGCCAAGTCATTAAAAACATTAAAAGGCTTGGCCAAAACAGCGTCGTTTAGGGTCAAGTTAAGATTTGGGTCGCTGAAGGATACTTGAACGCCCAATCAAATGCCCCAGGCGTGCCTTGGCTGCCAGGCGAACTCTAACGAAGCCTAGGCGAGTTTCTGCCCACTCCCAGAAAACAGAGGTGAAATTGTTGCTGTCTCGCCTCCAAGGCCGCCTATGCGCACCCCAAGGCAAGTTTTTTAAAACACTGATATAATGTGATGTTAAATGTACCCAATTTTTTTATTTTGATTTAGTTAAGAGTTTTTGGGTTTTTTTACTGTTCAATAGAGCAGTAGTTAAAGCAGACATCTTTGTGTTCATACAGTTGGTTGGAAATGAAAATTGCCCTGCATTATCTCTATTAATTAATAAAACCTTCTTTGTTAATCAAAAGAGGGTGAAAATACTACTTAGTCTTCTATCACACACAAAAAAAAAATGATGGGTAATAATGTAATTTCACAGGTTCAAATTTTACTGTTTTTTATTGAAGGCTCACCTACAGGTGATGTTAAAATACCTCCAATATTAAAAAAAATAATAATAAAAAAAAACCTCCCGCTCCCTCCATGTTCTCTCTCTCTCTCTCTCTCTCTCTCTCTCTCTCTCTCTCTCTCCTTCTCATTTTCTAAAAATATGTGTTCATACACACAAAGTGTGTAGGCAAATGCTAGTTTGTTAATTAAGCAAACCATATGCAAGCTTTTAATTACATTGGTTGTGTTGGAATTTCGTAAAATATTTTTTGTATTTTTATAGGTTGGAGCACCAAGAACGTGATACTCAGTCTAAAATCTGAACACAGTGAAGAGCTAAAGCATATCCAACTGCAAGCTGAAAACGAACTGAGAGAGGTTCAAATAAATAGCTTTGAATTAAGTTGGAACTGCTAATTTAAGTAGAGTGTTATATGCTTACGTTACAAACCAGTTTATCATTTTCATAGAAAATAACTTCAATGAGGAGCAAACATGAAGCTGAGCTGACAGGTTTGCGGCTTCAGCATGAAGATGAGTGTGAGAAGATGCGGGATGAATTGGATCTACAAAAGTCTAAAGTATATATCTACCATTAAATAATTGATATTTTTGCACCTTTTACTTACGGAATGATAATTATCGCAGGAGGAGAAGCAGAGAGCATTACTGCAAATGTAGTGGAGAGTTTTGGTAATAAGCCACAAGAGGACCAAGAAGTGAATTCAAAGAAGGTTGGCTTTATAATAGATAACTCTCTCTCTCTCTCTCTCTCTCTCTCTCTCTCTCTCTCTCTCTCTCTCTCATATCCACAAACACAGATTAAATTACTATAAGTTGTTTAGTTGCAGTTGATTGGATGTATTAGTTAATCTTAATTTTAGTCCACAAATTATTTACTCCACTGATAAGGAATTTGTTAAATTACTATTGTTGGAGAACAATTCAGAAATAAACAAAAAATAACAGAAATAAACAGAACTTGAAATTCTAATACTTTATTAACCAAAAATACTTGATGTGCAGAATAAAATTATACAATAAATACATAAACTAATATAAGAATATCAATGATACTAACTTGATCACAGAAGGTAGAGGCTAGCGCAAAAGCTATGTCCTTCGAACAGTATTTTCGTCCCACTCTTGTGCTTGTGGTTCTACAACGTCTGCTCGACCAAGATTCAACTACCTAATTCTACAACCCGCACTGGATTCTAGAATTTTAGCGAATTTGCTTTATGTGCTTACTCTCTGAAAATTTTGTACAGAAGAAAAGATGATCTCACTTGGATACTATGATTGCAAATATATAAACTAATATAAGAATATCAATGATACTAACTTGAACACAGAAGGTAGAGGCTAGCGTAAAAGCTATGTCATTCGAACAGTATTTTCGTCCCATTCTAGAATTCTAGCGAATTTGCTTTGTGTGCTTACTCTCTGGAAATTTTGTACAGAAGAAAAGATGATCTCACTTGGATACTATGATTGCAAATATATAGGCTGTTTTACACCCTTTCTTAGGGCCCAATCCACACAACCATAAGGCCCAAGCCTTCAATCCATTTCCAAATGGTCCAAGTTCTAATTACTAAGAAGAAGGAATAAGCCTATATAAAGACTAGTGGAAAAATACTGTTGACCAATGTGGGACAAGAGGGCCTCAAACTCCTACAACTATAAGCCATTTAAATGTTTGATTTCCATTTGAAAACTTGGGGAGTTCTAGGCATGTTGTTTATGGAAGAAGCTCAGTCTCAAATCCCTCGAACGATCTCTCAGTTGCCACTTTGTTTTCGTAGGTTGTGGAACTTAATTTTCTCTATCCGTGTGAATTTGTGCCTTAGGTTACATTTATCTGCTAAATGTGTATTTTGGAAATGTTTATTTGATGAATGCACTGGTATAATTGATCAATAAATTACTATGATCGGTATGTTTCTGTGGAAGTGATTCATGAAGGGTCTGGATAACAGTTTTTGGGGTTAGATTTTTGAATCTATGGGATTTGCTGACAGAGTCTCCGATTTTAGGGAGGGGGAGAGAGAGAGAGAGGGAGTTCATGGTAATGGTGGAGGATGCGCAAGATAGTGAGAGCCATCCGAGTAATCTCTCTCTCTCTCTCTGAAGGAGGCGCACGGTATCCAGTCCTAGATTAAGAGTGTTATGCGCTCACGCGTCCCTTACTTCAAAGAACTATCCGAGTAATCTCTCTCTCTATCTCTCTCTTCTCACTGAATTTGTGTGCTTTTGATGAATTTAATTTCAAATATTAGTTGTGATTTTTTTTTTCTTTTATGCCAGAATGTGTGGTATAAATTCATGCTTGATTGATTTGTACTCAAAGTTTGTAACTTTGATTTTTGTTTTTTAGGGTTTACTCATGCGTATTATAACTTAATTAAGGGCCACTGTGAAGACACAATTGTGTGTGGTTAACTGTTTTTGATATGGTTTGTGTTCTTAGGATTGGCATGTTTAGTTGTTTTGTTTGGGGTTCGTGGGGATTTTTTGGGTCGATATATATTCTTAAGTTGCATATAAAAGCTTAATTGCAGAGAACCAGTAGTAAATAACTCACGGTATAATGATGTAATAGTATATGAATTATATCATTCTGCTTCGTAAATCAAATTGCTAATGCAGTGTGTTTGATTTGTTTCCTCTTGAGGTACTTTCGAGGCCTGCCGTCAGCCCAATGCAATTGATCGCATCCCGCATGATTAATTTATCCACGTTCGAGAATTTCTCATTATACAATTCTACTGCATTTTTTCTTTAAATTTTAATTTTAATTTTAAAATTTTGGTTTTGATTATGCAGTTTGTGGATATATGCTTTTGTCTGATTTCTGCTACGATAATGATCGAATCCAAAGGATCGAGGCCAGTCGATCTTAGGTTTGTACTACTCTATCCCTTTCTTTCTCTCTGTCTGTGAATTTCTTGAAATGTACTATTCTTGCTGTGTTTGGGAGCGGAGAAAGCTCTGGATTAGCTTTGATCGCTTGAATGTCTTATTTAGTTCAGCACGGTCAGACTACATAATCCTATTATTGGGCTATTTCTAGGAAGGTTGTATGTTTATTTTGTTAGTCTGTTGACAGTTGGTATGTCTATCATGTTGATGGAACTAAATTGTGAGTTAATTATGGTTTAGATTATTGAATTTTGAATTTGGAATTCCCTTCGGAAACTGTCACAATCGAAGTGTCTATTGTGACTACAGGAATCAAAAGCGAGTGAAAGGTAAAGCTTTTCTCTCAAACATTCATCGTCAACAATTCCAGCCAGAGCCAGGTACATCTCTCCTCTTGCTTTCTTTTTACAATGTTCTTTCCCAATTTCTCTCAGAAAGTAAGAGTTTTGGTTTGTATCCTTGGATTAGATTTGTATATGTTCCATTGCATCTCAGTTTTGTCTGATTTAATAGCATAATCTGGCTCTTGGTTTTCTTGATTTAATTTTTCTTTCATTTCTATAATTAGACAAATTAAGGATAAAATTTTCTATTAGTATATGAGTAACCGATTCTGATATAACATTTTCCTCCATTTGACGTGATTTTGGATTATTAGGGACTCAGGCTTGCCTTTTGAAAAAAGGCTTTTAGGTGAGTAATTTACTAATTTGGTTTTTATTATCAGAATAGGGGGTTTAATTTGTAATTATTTTGATGCGACAAAAATTTTTAGATTTTACAGATTTTTCTAGTTCAGGATGATAAAAATTTAGGGCTTTGATTTGTTGATGTGATTTCTACGTACTTTGAATTCAAATAGAAATGCAATGATATATTAGATGTTTGAGTAAATTTTCAGTCAAAAGTTTTAGATTTTACAGATTTTTTCAGTTCAGGATGATAAAAATTTAGGGCTTTGATTTGTTGACGTGATTGAGTAAATTTTCAGTCTCCATCTATTTGTTTAACCCTTAATGATGTGAATTATTGATTGATAATTTGATAATATGTATGCTATTATTGATCAAGAAAAATTAGTTCGTTAATTTGTTGGGCTTGGTTGTTTTGACATGTCGATGTTATAAAGCTCCTTTTTATAGTTAGGTTGAAGATCATGTTAATAGATTCTTTTTTTGGTTGGTTCGATTTGTAACAGATGAGATTGTTTTGTTTGAATCAAAATTTGATCTTTTTTTTTGTGTGAAATTATAATGGAATCGCAAATTTGTGAGGTATACCTTAGATTCTTGGTTGCATAATCACCTTCCCACAACTATTACATTGCCTCTTGATTGGATGGATTTTTATAATTTTCAGGATCTATGGTTGCAATGCTTTAGATTCATGAAGTAAGAGGAAGCTACTATTCTTATGGAGCTTCTTTGGCATGGTAAGTTGAAGTTGCATGTCATTTTTTTTGCTCACATAATTCATTATCTTGCTATAGGCAATTAGCAGGGTCTGACAATTGGTAAAGTGTGAATAAATGTATAGAAGTTTGAATTGTATAGATGAAAGTGAATTTTAACAACTCTAACTTAGATTTATTGATAATTTGATCCGTCTTTCTTTCTTTTGTGTTTGACTATTTTACTTTTTTTTCTTTATGTAAGTACAACTATTGATAGAAAGCCACAGAAACTACTTAACGACCGCGAAACTATTTGTGTTAAAAGAACAAAAGCTTAAATTTTGGGCACTTAAATATATGTTTTTTTTTATTTTTTATTTTCAATTACAATCACTCGCATGAAAATTCAATTGGGTTTGTTCTGCCCTCCAAGAATTTTTCCTTGTTTAGTTACTGATTAATTCATGTGGTGGGAGTTTAGTTTTTGCTTTGCTGCCTATGTATGTATGTTTTGAAATGAACAGTTCAATTTGTTGTATATAAATTTGTAATATAAAAGCTCGAAGGAGAGATGAATTAGAAACAATGGATCAATAATTTGAAATATTTTAAGTGTAACTTTTCTTTAATTCCTTTTCCTTTTGTATTGTCATTGGATTCGTTTCGTTTTTCTGCTTAATTTATCTTGAGAATGTTTGCATCTTAATACTTATCTCAAATATGTTAATTTGTCTCATTTTCTATAGAATGTGCAATGTAAATGTAGGTTATTCTCGATCTTTAGATAGTGAGTATTTGACGACTTCTCTAAACTTGGCTACTTGGCTACTCAGCCTTTCAAATACAGAGCTGCAGATGAGAGAGGAGTCAGGTGAGCTAGAATCGGGTTTGTACCATTCTAAATTATTCGTTTAGATGCCAATAAAAGATATGGTTGCCCAATTCAGCTTTGCATTTTCAATGTCTTAATTATTTTCCTTTGATAGCACTTCGTTTTGATTTGTAAATAAACTATATACTAATAAAAGATATGGTTGCTCAATTTAGTTTTGCATTTTCAATGTCTTAATCATTTTCCCTTGATAGCACTTCGTTTTGATTTGTAAATGAACTGTATATTTTATCTTGGGTCACATTATAACGTTTAACGATTGAATTTGTAGATCATATTCCTTTGATACCATCTTTGCAAACATCTTATCGTATTCAACTCTTTTCTACAACAAAGTTATCGTTTCGCCTAAAAAAACATCTTAGAATTTTATGTTTGACAAAACAAGTTGAAACAATACAAACAGAAACGACTACGACAACTCACAAAAATATCTGAACCCCAAATTAAAAATAAACTAAACACCGATATACCGTTTTAAGCAAAATTAAGAGTTGGAAGCTTTCTATTAAAGAAGAATCATCATCTCCGGCTTCTTTTCTTTAATATACGTTTCCTAATATTCTAGGTCAACTCAATTATAATTAGAGTAAATTGTAACAATAATTCTTTAACAAAAAATTCATTATCATTGGTCCCTCAACTTATCAAAACATGCAGCTATGATCCCTCAACTTTAATCCAACTAGAGAAATGGTTTTTTAACTTTAACCCAATCGGAGCAATGGTCCCTCAACTTTAATGCAATTGTAGCAATGATCCTTTCAACCTAACTCATTTTGACAAAATTGTGATGAAGTTGACGAAATGGACCATAGTTACACGTTTTGATGAGTTGAGGGACCCCAATTGTAGCAATGATATTTCCAACATAACTTATTTTGTCAAAATTCTGACGAAATTAACGAAAATGACCATAACTACACATTTTGATGAGTTGAGGGACCAGTGGTAATGGATTTTTAGTTAAGGGACCATTGCTCCAATTTGATTAAAGTTGAGGGACCATTGCTACGATTTACTCTTATAATTAAATTGTAGATTCATACCACATATGCGTTACCTAATACCCTATATAATATAACTATTGTATACACAATTGATTAAGGAATTATATTTCTACATGGTATCCGCCTAACTAGGTCCTAGGGTTCCCTTTTTTCTCTCCTGAAACGTTACCTTCTCCGGTTGCTTTTCCTCTTCCTCCACCGTCTAGGTTTACTGTTTCTCCCCTTGTCCTGCCATGTCTACCTCCTCCTCTTCCCTTCTCATCCCAACACCACTCACTTTGTCAAACTCACTGAAACCAATTACCTTGTTTGGCTTCGCCAGATGACGTCGTTCCTTGTTGGTCATAACCTTTGGCTCCCATCCTATCCTCCTCTTACGATCCATGATCATACACACAAAGCCATGGATGCCCAACCTTGAAACATAACTCCTTTCATTTTGCAAATCCTTTGAACATTGTGATATATTGTAATGAACTAATGTTTCTTTTATTACGCTTTTATTTTGGGTATGTAATATACTAATTTAGTATTATGCTTTTCATTTGATTATTTATTGGTTTAAAATATATTTTCTTTAATAGGTAACAGGTGGATCCTATTACTCATTAATATAAATAGATCGATTTCGAGTTAGGTCATATTACCCGCTTATTTTAACGGGTGTTACACAACACGACCCGTTAAGATTTCTGGTATGACACGAAATCGACATGAAAACAAAAAACACAACACGAATGCCAGGTCTTCCCTATCAATTTTTAACAATTTGAAGCCCAAATTTGATGACCCAAATCCGTTGGCTGGGAAATCCCTATCGGTAGATCGAAAATCTCATAAAGCAACTCCAAGTTCATCGATTCAAGCAAGAAATTCTCCACCAAGCTTGATTCTGAGATTTATTAAACATTTGATCAAACATTGAGGGCGTTTGAAAAAAAAAATTATGAATTCTTGTTCCTGGGCTCCAACTTCAAAGAGTCTTGTTGAGTTTGAGTTTGAGTTTGAGTTTGAGTTTGTATTAGTTGTGGAGCTAAAAATAATCTCAAAAATTTTAGAGGTGACATGTGAACTTTTGCTCAAGAAACACAAGATTGCCCTTACTAAATGGGCAAACTCCTCAGATACTCCCATGCGTAGCTCACACCCCTAAAGGTTCCTGCAGCTAGACCTGGCATTTTAAATCCAACCTGACCCGACTCGTTAAAGTTAGTATTCGGGTGAGTATTTAACAGATAAGGTTGTTAACAGGCAACCCGTTAATCACCCGTTAAATAACAGGTCATTTTGGATCAACCCGCGAAACCTGTTAGCACCCATTAACACCCGTTATTGAGGGCTTTTGTGTAATTTCAATAGTTATAATAAGAAGCCCTCAAACTCAAACCCTATCTTTGCCACTTCAAGGACGTCGCTGATATGCTCCAAGATTATATTCCCAGCTCAAAATGGCAACAGACGACTCTTCCTGCTCCTCCGGTGGCTCTGACACTTCGTCTTATCTGCTTTCTCAAGAGCAAGTCAAGCTTCTCTCCTCTAATAGCGGCAACTCATCCTCTGGCTTGCCCGATCGGGATCCTTCATTCAAGTGCTTCTCTATCTCGGACTTGAAGAAGAAGGTCATGGCACGCCTCTGTCAAATAGCGAAAAGGATTGATAATGGAGGTAACTGTCAAAATGGATTGATTCCATTGGTTTTGCATATTGGCATTACATGTTGGATTTTTGAAATGGATGGACATAAATGCACTGCCAACTATTGTAAATGAAATCTGAATGTGAGATCTTGTTTGTACATTAAAATGAGTAATTGGAATGCAAATTAAACAAAAAACCAAAAAAATTGTTAATGGGTAACGGGTGAAATAGGTGAAATAGGTGATTAATGAGCTTAACGGGTTGGGTTTAGGTAACCCGTTAGATTAATAGATTGGGTTCGAGTGACCTGTTAACTTAACGAGTTGGGTGAAACCCGACCCAAACTCAATAAACCCGACCCGTTTACAAGTCTACCTGCAGCTAAATACAACTGCCCATAGCTCACTTGCCCTTGCTAAGGAAAAGTAAAGGCATTAAAGATTAGAATTAATTACCCAAATCTTCTCTTTAATACATTCCTAATTGAAGATTGACTCTATTCAAGTAAGTAATCCCTATTTAAATCAATTAGGAATAATTACTCCATTATCTCAAGATATTATTTCCTATTTAAGATCTTGAGAATATTTCTCCATAAACCTTAGCCAATAGGATGTCGCCATGTGTAGGGCAAAACCCTAACACCATGGTAGGTCATCTCCCCTATATATATCCCCAATTCTACCAAGTTTTAGTAAGCTATTGCTACCCCTAAAAGCCCTAAACACTTACTCTTTTTCAGAGAAACTAACTTAGGTATCGGAGATCCATTGACCTAATCCCCTCTCCCCCACTCCCTATCTCATGGGCGCAAGAGGCTTAGGTCTTTGATCAAAGGTGTTGATTGTTTTGCAGGTGCATTTTTGTCAAAGCTAGAGACAGTGGAAATTTGCATTAACAAATTGGTGCTTTCATTGAGAGCTGATTCAAATACTCAAAGAAGCCTATTACATTTGGTGAAGGAAATATTTGTGAAAAACCAGTTCATTTGAGCAACATCTATGCATGCAATTAACAATTAAAAGGCGGAATCATGCCTGTATGCACTCAATAAACAAAACTTTACCCATGAAATTCAAAGCCTAGTAGTTATGGTGAGCCAAGACTCAACTCAAGAACAAAGTGAGTTGAGAAATATTATACCTTTGTTGATTCCTCATTGCATAAGCAAAGGCTAATCACCCAAGAGTTAGGGCCTTCATTCCTTACTTCTTAGCTCCATGGATTTCTTGGATGATGATGATAGAATGGATTCTCCAAGTTCCCAAAATAGAGAACTTCTAAGTCTTCACACCAAGGAGAGCATTGTGAAGAGATGAGTGACCTAGAGGAAGGAAGATTGCTAGCTAAGCTCATCTAGGGTGGACGGCCTCTTAGAGAGAAAAGGAGAGCATGTGTTCTCTCCAATTTTCTCAAAAGAGAACCCTAATGACTTTTGGCTATAAAGTCCTTTACATAGTCACCTCAATAAAGTGACAAAAAGAACCAAAAACCCTTCCATCCAAATATAACCAGCCTTCTTAAAGGTTTTGGGATGTTTGGGCCTTTGTGAATCATTAGTCATTAAGTTGTCATACAACTTAAGTCAAAGGGCTTGACGTTCAAAGCCGATCGGGCCTTGAGGCCCAAAACTCACCTGAGGTCTAAAATGAACTTATTCGTTTGATTAATTAACATATTAATTCATCCTAGCCATAAATAATTAAACCATTTAATTATCCTTACTCATCTCCGTTGTTTCTTCAATCTTTACCTTACACGGTATATGATCCATTAGGTTCCTTTTAGCAAGGCAGTGGGCGATTAGAATTCTTCAAATCGATTGTAAATTGAAACATACTTTCAATTATCCCTTTAGTGATTATACACCTTTAGGGCTTCCACAAACCATGAATGACACCTAACAGTATGTCATGGCTATGCAAGCTAATCAGAAAAGGTGGAGAACCTATTCAGTTTAGGATTACAAAGCAATACAGTCATTCTCTAATACAATACTCCTGACCACGTTGTTTGGTTTGATAGTTTATTCATCTCTATTATCCAATGTGATTCATTTACTTATATGATTACCTTGAATGTGATTTGGAACGACTTTCTAAATCTCATTCATACTCTGGCCATAGATTCTTAATCTTATCATAGAGTATTCTCTCTCAAACGATTTGAAGGTTAGAGATCCCTTGTTGTGCATTCACTTGCCTCTATGGTTAAGTGACTTAACCCCAACTATGCCATGGACACCCTCTGATGAAGTGACTTTGACATAGTCAAAGATCAATGACCTAACCATAAGACAACTATGATGTCTCAGGTCAAAGGACTACTTTGCATTATCCCAACCATGAGTTCTCATGTGACATAAGTATAAGAACTCTTTTTTGATCGTGTTTAGCGGACTCATTCTCTATTGAGCACCTACATGCTTGTCTTGGTCTCAGTCACACCAATGACTCTAGATCAGTCACTCTCCCTAAGACAAGACATAGCACGTACTAATCTTA